CCTGGTCCAGAGGTCCTCTTTAAGAGTGTGAATATATGATGGAAACCCCAGAAGACAAAATATCTGAACTGTCCCTGGCCTGGCTGAGTTGGAGCTGAGCACAGGCAGCTCTACACAGAAGCCGCCCTGGCCAGCTGGGGGTGGATACTGGCCAACTTGTTTATTAACAATTAGAAATGCCAAAAAGTAGCCACTAGCAGCTTACACTTCACTTTGGCAAACCCACCAACACCAAGGCAGGTGTGGCCTGGAGCAGGATGCAGGACCCACCCTGTCTGCCAGAACCAGTTCACTCCAACCCTGCCTGCCAGGACCAGCCCCCACCCTCAACCCTGACGTGTTCACAGCAGGATGCACTCTGTGAACTCAGCTGGTGGGAGCTGCTCTGCACAGGGTGCCCGGCGAAAAGGCCCAGCAGAAGCCCTCAGGAGACTCTCAACCCAGCTTTTCCTCCAGCCCTCACAGACAACCATGGGACACATGCCAGGAGCTTAGCTTCAGCCATACACATTCCCCCACCCACACCTGTCAGCCTGACATCACGCCACACCTCTCCCAGGACAGTGCCCCCTGCAGGTTCCTGTGAGAACACACACAGTCCTGTTTTAGGTTCTAAGAAAGGCCTTGACCCACCAAGGTGGCACCCTGCTCCACTGCTCTTGTGCCCCCAGCTGTCCCAGGGACCCACAGCGATAGCCTAGGCAGTGGTCAGCACTGTCTGGCACAGCTTGTCCACTGGTGCACGTGTCCTTGCCAGGCCTAGAGCTGGCCCCCAGATAGCAGGCTCCCCCACTTGGCCCTGCAGTCTCGCACTTGACACAGGGCCTGGCATTCTAGGGCCACAGTGGACCCACGCCAGGCCTCCCTAACCAGGCCCCTGAGTGTGGTGACACCTCTGGGATGGCTCTCGCAGCATCTGTCCCAGTCTCAAGAGATGACAAAGTTTAAGTCACAACCATCCCACCCTGCACTGGGGGTGCTGCCTACCAAACTAGCTGGGCAGGGGAATGAAACCTCAGTGACACATCACAGCACGGGACGGGATGGGGAAGCCATGTGTGGGACCCATATCACCTTGGCAACAGCAAGGGCAGGCAAAGGGCAGGGTCCCCATCATTAGCAGCAGTGGCACCTCGGGCCTCACCCCCACCCTGGGGCCTCTAGGACAAGCTCTGCCCAGCAGGGTGACACTCTCACCACAGCCTGCGGTGTGCTGAGACCAGCTGCAGAGAGCACTCAGGGACCACCCACAGTCTGGCCTGACACCAGGTCCAGTTGGGAAGCTCAGGTTTGTTCTGGAAGGAAGTAGGCCCAGCCACGGCCTGGCAGACACTCCCTGTGGACATCAGCACCAAGGCCAAAGCAGAAAAGACTAGGAAGGGTAAGAGTCCCAGCCCCACAGGGGCTACTTGCCACGTGAGCACACACGGCCCCACTCTCAGCCTCTTCCCCACCTATGGGCCAGGCTCACTGTAGAAATACTGACGCATACACAACCCTTTGACCATGTGCCCAGCTCCATCTTGGGTCCTGCCAAGGAGTGTGATGCTGACTTGGCCATGCTGCCCTGTGGCCACCCCATCTCGACTTCATGGGAGGACTGTTTACCACCCAGACAGGCAGGTTTTGGCCACCACAGGTGGCACCTGAATCCTGGCAAGTACATCTCGTTGTGCATGCCCCTGGGCAGACTCAATGGGCGACTCAGCCCCTGCCACCCAGGCATCTTCGAGCCTGCATATAGCTGTCAAGGTTGCTGCGACCACCCACTCACAGAGCACTGAGGGGTCACCTGGCAGGAGCCACAGTAAATGAGCCTAGGGACCCATCTCCGTCCATAGGGGGAGCACCAAGTGGCTAGCCCACCAAGCCAGGCCCGGGGAGGCTTCACCACACTGCTAATACCATGCAGCCTGGGAGGCAAATGGGAACCTGCACCTGGCCTCTTCCACTCTGTGGACACTGTGGACCCCACTGAGGCTGAACAGGAGTAATGGATAGTGTCCCTGGCCCTAACTACCAGGGCCCCACCAGGTGAGGCCACGTAGCCAACCAGCCTCAGCACCCCGTACCCTGTCCTGAGCCAGTGCTGTCCTCAGGTCAGAGACAGGCCAGGGAAAGCCCAGGATGCTGTACCATCAACGCTCACCCTGGTGAAACCGGGAATTCCCTAAATCAAGGACCAGCCCTTCAGGGACAGCCCTGGGACAGGACCTGCAGCCCCACACCATGTGTTCTGTGAATATGACTGTGACACCAATGTAGCTCACCCAGTAGCAGTGGGGGTCTGGACACACACTGGTGGCCGTGCCCTATTTGGGATATTCCCTAGGCCCCCAGGAACATGGAGAGAAGCAGGCTCCCAGTCAAACAGAGCCAGTCACACTGAAGACTTCGAGCATCTGTGCTTCCTTCCCCAAAACCCAGGCACTGAGGGGGCAGGGCAGGCAGGGGCACCTCATGAGCACCTGGCCCACCCACCTGCATCGCCTCGAGCCATCCTACCTCACTGCATCCAGTCTCTTGTTCTGCCGGATGAGCTCGATGAACTCCTGAATCCGTAGACTGAACTCCAGGCAGCTCTGAGGGCAAAGACGGAGCGGCGCTTAGCGCACAGCGTCACCCTGCAGACCCCACGGACAGAGCATGAGCCCCTCAGAGGGCATCTGAAGGCAGGTGGACACCTAAACTGCCCCTCCAGCTGCAGCAGACATCTTCTAGAGTAGTGGTTCTCAACCTTCCTAATGCCGCAACCCTTTAATACAGTTCCTCATGTTGTGGTGACCCCCTAACTGTCACCACAACATGAGGAACTGTATTAAACGGTTGCGGCATTAGGAAGGTTGAGAACCACTTTTCTAGAGGGACAAACTTGGTGTTGTGCATCTGGCAGCTTGGCCCCTCCCCATGCAGCTGCAGTGGGGTGTGACGGTCCCACTCTCAACCCCAGGGTCATTGACTAAAGACAAGCCCAGGGGGCTCAGGCCTTAGGGCTGCGGGTAGAGGTGAGCAGTGGGTCCAGCCACTAGGCATCCATAGGACCCAGTAAAGGTACCCCGAAAATGAGCACAGGCAAGGCACTGGTCCTCAAGGACAAAGGGGCTCCAAGTCCTACCCATCACCACCGCAATCCTGAAGGTGCTCGTGCAGCCCCCAGGCTGCCTCCCCCTAACATGCTCCTTTATCCCAGCTGGATAGTCTGACCCCCAGCATCAAATGAGTGCCACCCATGCCAAGGGCTGTGCTGGAGATGTTTTGGGGAGGAGATGGCACCCAAGGTGCAAGATGTGAGGTGACCTCATGCAGAGCCTGAGGCACAGCCTCAGGTGGGATCGCCCAGCAAAGACCGACCAGCAGTGCTGCATCCGGGGAAGATGCTCCAGGACAAGAGCCAGTGCTTGGGCCCAGGTGGGGTGCGGGGGGCACATGGGGTGCAGACTTCTGACTCACTGCAAGGCCCAGGGCCCCAAGAGAGGGCAGCTCCTCAAAAGGGTTTGGGTTGGGGCTGCCAGGAGGGGAATACTGTGCCCAAGGAGGGGAGGTTGGGGACAGGGGTGAGGCTCTGAGAGATGCAAACTCTATAATCTTAGCAGTACATGTACCAACTCAATCTGGGCTGAAACTGGCTGAGTAAGCTGCAAAGTTAATTTCTGTTGTTCTTATGTGGTTTCGTAACAGGACACAGACAATGACCTGAACAAGTCAAGTCTCAGAAGGATAAATGAGAACCAAGTCTACAGCCTTCAGATCACAGGATAGCCTCAATGGAAATTCTGCATGGCAAGAAAAAAACCAACCCCAAGGGCCTAAAACCTAACTTTTAAGCTAGTCCATAACAAGTCCTTCACCCCATGTTCCCCACCTGCAGCCCTGCCCCTGCCACACAGGCACCTATAGCAGACTCTGAATGGGGGTCAGGGTGAACCATGCCACCCAGGCCCCAGGAGCCAGCCAGAGAACTACTTACCTTCCAGGGTGGAGCTCAGACTCGGCCATGCAATAGATGCTCAGAACAGGGACGGATGGGACCAGGGAAGTGTCCTTACCCCCCACGGCCTATGTCCTCAACTAGGGCAGAGTCTGTCACCAACTTGAGTAAGCACCAGTTTTGGTACAGACCAGTGAGGAGGACAAAGCTATCCTGAGGGCTCCCTCCGAGCCCCAGCCCTGCTGATAAGCAGACAGACTATGGTCAGCTGTCTACTTCCCGGGCCGGGGCCACGCCTTTCCAGCGCCCTGCCTGCCTCCTGGGGGGAGCCAAATGACTACTGCTTCTACAGCCATTGGGTGCCACTCAGCTGCCAACAATCAGCAAGGAGCTGCCATGTGGACATCCCAGAAGGGCAGTCCTCCAAGTTAGCACAGCCACTACTTCACAAATAGGCTCTTCATACCTCTACAGCACGTGACAACTCTCTGCTCTTGTATGTTAATGCTCACGTAGCTGGTGTGCCAGTGTGCTCAGGAGACACAGTGAGCATCAGGCTCAGACTCTCTCTAAAAGTGCCACAATTCTGCGTGGACCACAGGTGCATGCACAGACTGGAAGCATGGGCCCCATCCTACATCCTGTAGGCCCTGAGGACATGGGGTGGCTCAACAGATTTCTTTTTTTTGAGACAGAGCCTCAAGCTGTTGCCCTAGGTAGAGGCCGTGGCATCACAGCTCACAGCAACCTCCAACTCCTGGGCTCAAGTGAGTCTCCTGCTTCCGTCTCCGGAGTAGCTGGGACTACAGGCGCCTGCCACAATGCCTGGCTATTTTTTGGTTGCAGCTGTCATTGTTATTAGGAGGGCCCAGGCTGGATTCGAACCCGCCAGCTCAGGTGTATGTGGCTGGCACCAAGCCGACTCAACAGATATTAACTTAGCATCCCATTATCTTAAAATTTACTTTCCAACTAGGTGAAACGTGGTTCAAAAGCTGCTTCTTCCAACCAGATGCTTGTGACTGCCCCCCAGGGCCCAGCAGCACACACAGTGTGAGGTTCCGCCCTGGCTCATGAGTACACACAGACAGCACAGACACTGCATCTTGCTGTGTTCAGCTGACATTTCCTAACAGGCATGTTTCTGTGTCATGGTACACAGTCTTAAGGTACACTCGGGGGTGGCTACTTTGCTCCACTCTATCTTGACATCCTCACGGGTGTGCACTCAGCACGGCTGTCCCTGACCTGGTCAGCCCCACAGAGGTTTCAGACCACATGGTGTGGCCCAGGCTAGCCTTAGGACTTCAGCAGTAGTGCCGTCTGGTAAGTCATTAGGCTTGGAGGGACAGCCAATCACAACAGAGAGGTCCTACTTGCTCTCACCATGAAGGTTGTCCCTCTGAGAGGGAGTGTGGCTGGCATCGTTCGGGCTGGTGCGGTGGGTCACATCCACTCCCGCCTCTCTCATACTCTTGTGGGGAGCAGAGGTCACTGCATTCTCAACCCATCCCGGAGAAGCAGAATCAGTCCCTCTTAGCTGGTGACTATGTGACACCAACAAGCTCAACCAGGGCAAGGGGAAGCAGTGCTCAGTTCAGAAAACAAGGAGTTTGCTGGCAGAGGTGGAGGCTGGTTAGTGTAAGCTAAGACATTTCTGTGAGCTCTAGGGAACAGCTTTTGGTGAGCAGATTCAAGGTCTATTGTTTACATTCACAGTGGTCTTAGAAAGGCACATCTTCAGTGAGAGTACCACCGCCTTGCATGGATGAGGACTTCCCAACCAGCTTTCTGCATCTCTCAGTGCTGGTGGGGGGGTCTGGACTGCCTTCTAGCTTGAGGCCCAACAGCCCAAACTCGCTGCCCATGCTCCCCATCCACCCTGGTCAGAGGTCAGCCTTAGTCCCAGTGCAGGAGGAGGTGTGCCTCTCAGGTAGCACTGCCCCCACCTACCTTCATCTTCCGGAGCCGGGACTTGTTGTCATGGCACCAGGCCAGACAGGTGGCTGTCTCACGCCTCTCCAGGGACTCCTCCACTTCCTTGGCTGTCAGGAACATCTCTATATTCACCAGGTCCTTAGAAGAAGAAGGTGGCTCCAGTTAGAGCAGGGCCCAGGCTTACCTCCAGCCCTTACCTGGGAGCCCTGGGACAGAGAACACCAAACTTCCACCCTGGGAACAGAATGGCCACGAGGACTGGGAGGCTCAGATTCAGTTGCCTGGCCAGAGGACCCAGGTTGTACCTTTGCTGGGCATGGGGGGACCCGAACCAGCAGTGGACACATACAGACTGGCCATACCGCCCCCTCTCCAGCAGCCTCCTGTTCTGAAATAAACGGTAGGTGAATAACACATAACAGAAAGCACATAATGGCCAATACTTAAGCAACTAAAACCAAGGATTTCTAAGAAAACAAGAGAAAATGGAGCAACCCACAGACTTGGATCAAGACTCCCTCAGTGGCTGAGCCCAAGCTGGGTGCCCACGGTCCCGCTATGGTGGCAAGACCCCTGTGCTGCCTTCTCTGACACCCATGGACCCTTGGAGGTGTGAGTCACAGTCAAGATGAGAAGCTGGGTGGAGGGGCAACTCATCCAACACAAACAGAAACAGAAACCACCCCAGAAAAAGCAGGCTCTGTCTCATGTGATGTGAACACCAAGGCGGTGCAGCTGGGCACCCTCTGGCTATCAAGGCCCACAGCCCCACGGGGCCAGCCTGATGCTCTTTTCACAGCACCTTTTCCATGCTGGCAACACTTCCTGTTCTGAGATCTCACCCCACACCAGAGCCTGCGAACATCCTCTTAGGGTAGCCAGATTTCCAGTTTTGGTGCAGAGTGTGACCTAGGGCCCTAGCCCTGCCAGCTAGTTCTACCTGCATTACAGCAGCAGTTCCCTGGGTCCCGTGTCCTCAGCTCAGCCTTCCCAGGCTGCCTCAGGGAAGGGGACCACTGACCTGACACACACAGGCTCTACTCAGGCCACCTGAACACAGTGGCTCTAGGCCCATTCTTGGGCAGATGTACTCGGGACCCTCTTCTATCTCCTCAAATCTGCCTCTGTGTCTCATCCTGATAAGGCAGAGCCCAACCACTTTTCTTAGTGTGCTGGACCCCTATTCATGCCTGCAGAGCTCCTGCACAACTGCAGAGTGCACTGTGTCTGCAGCGTAGCCCCATATCACTTCACACCTCCCTGCCCAACAGTGCGTGCACTTCCGGGGAACAAGAGGCTTCACTGACCACCATCAGACAGCCCTGGTCACACCCTGCATGCCAAGGGCAAAGCATGGAGTGTCCAGAAGGAGAGGGCAGCGGAAGGCCTGTGAACAGACAGGCCAAAACTTGCCAGACAGCCCAAAGAGGTGCCCATCAGGCAGGGGGAGGCTGGGCTGGGACAGCAGGTGGGTGGGAAAGCCATGAGGCCCAGGGGGCACTGGAGCTGCCACGTGGCAGCCCCACCCTCCTCAGTTCCATCTCAGGAGCCCAGGCTCCCTGGCAGAGTGGGTTTCAGAGAGCTGCCTGAGGCTTTCAGTGGCTTGGCAGAGGCCAGGGAACAAGCACATTTGGTGTGCATGCCAGAGCCCTCAAGGAGACGGGACAGAGGAACATCTGCAGCCAGTTTAGACTGCACAGCGCTGAGGACAGCACCCTGCACACTGGCCAAGGACCACAGGTGCTTAACACTGATGTGCCAGCTGTCTGCCCCGGGGATACCACACCCCACAGGACAGTCTGAGGTAACTCAGCTCTCCCTGGACTCTCCCCCTAGGGAAGTGCCTGTAGGCACACTGTGAGAGGGGCAGGCAGGGAAGGGGATGCCTACCAAGGTGGTTGGGGAGACTGCTATGGGGAGAGGCTTGAGTAACGGTCAGTGCTTCAGGCAAAGTCCTTGAACTGAAGCAGGTTAGCTGGATGGGGTGTGAGGGAGGACATGGAGGCCAAGAGGTAGTATCTTGCTCCCCTTTCTCAGAGGTCAGTCTAAGGGTTAGGAGGGGGTGTCCAGACTGGACGCCAGGCCCAGGGAGCGCAGTGAGTGCAGGTAGGTGGGCCCTGCAGATGCCCATGTGGACGTTAAGGTGGCCTCAGCTTAGGCTGGTCACAGGAGAGCCACACACACTTGGTGGGAATTAAGCTGTGAGAAGAGACAGGATCCTGGGTTAGATGGAAAGGGCCAGAGATAGGCCCAGGGAGGCCATAGTGGGGAGGGCACATGGGCAGGGAGAAGGGAGCACGCAGAAGACACAGAGGAGAGAGGGTGTGCAGGAAGCCAGCTGAGATGAGGTAGAGGCTCGAGGGGGTGCTATGCACACATCTAGGTGTGGGGAGAGGCCACAGGAGGTGGTCAGAGAAGTGGGCTGGGGACACATCACACCTTGAATGGTGCCTTGGGAGGGCACCAACAGAGGGGTCTGGGCAGGGACAAGGTGATGGGTATGCTCATTGGCTGGGGGGGGGCTCCAACTCCTCTAGACTCCGCAGTGCTAGACTGCCCAACAACTGAGGGGCTATTCCCAGAGATCCGGGCCCAGAGTTGCAGCTGGGTGTGAAAAGGCCAGGCCAGTAGAGCAGAGGTCACAAACTCGGCACCACCCAGCATGCTTCTTTCAGGAACTCGCAGCTAGAACATGCTCCTAAGGCACGAGTGTCAATTATACCTACAGCTGTAATGCTGGTCCCACTGACAGGGAGATGGCCAGGCAGGGTGGCTCACACCTGTAATCCCATCACTCTGGGAGGCCGAGGCAGGAGGATTGCTTGAACTCGGAACTGGAGACCAGCCTGAACAAGAGGGAGACCTTGTGTCTACTAAAAATAGAAAAACTAGCAGGGCATAGTGGCGGGCACCTGCAGTTCCAGCTACTCTGGAGGATGAGGCAGGAGGATTTCTTGAGCCCAAGAGTTTGAGATTGCTGTGAGCTGTGACCACGGCACTTTACCCAGAGCGAGAGTGAGATCTTGCCTCAAAAAAAAAAAAAAAAAAAAATAGCCACGTGGAAAATGCTCCCTAACTGAGATAAATCCAAAGCTCCTGCAGCAAGAAAGCAATGTTGGGGTGTGCCTGGTGTCACTGCTGGAAAAGCGTGAGGATCCTTTCTGCATTTTCCTAATCAGAGCACGTTTAAGCAACCAAAGCTAATGAGAAGCACCGCTCGACACGTTCAGATGCTGCCACCTGAGTTCAAAAGCTAAAAGCAGAGTGTCTGCCACCTGACCCACCTCGATGCCGCTCTGCCGCGCCAGCTTGACGGCCGTGTTGTAGTAACCGCAGCGCAGCAGGTGCTCCACCATCATGCGGTCCATGCGCTTCCTCTTCCACATGCTGGCCGCGGCCGGCTGGTCACTACTGTGCTCTTTGAGGTGCTCAATCCTGCGTTTGCACAGCTTGGCACTCTCATCCTCGGCCTGGATGGATTCCACCGCCTGCCCACACACAAAGAGCCCTTCAGATGGGACACCCCTGTATGCCTAGCCCCATGAGAAACCAGGCTGCCCATCTTGAATGCTCACAGAAAGAAAAGGAGAAATACAAGTTGGGGACAAAGTGGGACTGCAGGACAGAGTAATGCACAGCGTTCCATGGACGCCCACCAGCCAAGTGCATGCTCGAACCATAATTACTGACACTGGTGTTTTAAGATCCACCTCTTGTGGGTTTGCATCTTCTTTTCAGTTATGGTATTTCTCGCTTTATGTATTCTGAAGCTAAGTGTCAGTCACATGCAATTTTAAATTTGTTACCTCACTGGTTAAACTGTTTATCATTATAAAGTGACTTTCTAAAATCTTTCATAATACTTTTTTTCTTAAAGTCAATGTCATTCAAAATTAAAACTAAATAGAAATGTTTTATACCTGCACTGTTCAATACTGAGGAAATGAATTCTTTTTTTTGAGGAAATGAATTCTAAATTTACTTAATTTAAACTTCAATAATGCGCATGGTTCTAGGGTTCTGGTTGGTTATTTTCCTTCAGCACATTCCACTGTTTTTGCTTCCGATTCTTGGCAGCTGTTGGGCTATTTGCCACTGCTGTACAGGTGGTCTTTTCCCCCAGCTGCTTTTTTTTTTCTTTTTGACAAGAGTCTTACTTTGTTACCCTCAGTAGAGTGCTGTAGCATCACAGCTCACAGCAACCTCAAACTCTTGGGCTCAAGCAATTCTCTTGCCTCAGCCTCCCAAGTAGCTAGGACTACAGGTGCCCACCACAACACCCAGCTATTTTTAGAGATAAGGTCTCACTCTGGCTCAGGCTGGTGTTGAACCCCGAGCTTAGGCAATACACCCACTCCCAGACTGCTAAGTCCCCTAGCTGCTTTTAAAGTTTTTTGTCTTTGTTTTCTTTAGTTTTACTGAGTGAAAATCCTATGTAGGTTTCTTTCTTTCTTTGAGACAGAGCCTCACTTTGTTGCCCTGGGTAGAGTGCAGTGGTGTCACAACTCACAATAACCTCAAACTCTTGGCCTTGAGCAATCCTTTTACTAGGCCTACAAGAACCTGCCACAGCACCTGGCTAGTTTTCTCTATTTTTAGTAAAAACTGGATCTCACTCTTGCTCAGGCTGGTTTTAAACCCCTGAGCTCAAGCAATCCACCCATCTCAGCCTCACAGAGGGCTAGGATTTACAGATGTGAGCCACCACACTTGGCCTTCTACGTTTATTTTCATTTATTCTGTTTAGGATGCTGAACTGATAACTTTCATCACTTCTGAAAACCTCCTCTTGGTCCTTTTCCCTATACCATCTCTGGCCACCCCCACCCTCTGCTTAAACACAGCAAAAGTTTCTGCTCTAATCTCTCTTACTCTCTTATATACTTTCCTTTTTCAAATCTCTGCACTGCATTCTAGATAATTTCTTCAGATATACCTTCTAGTTCACTATTCTGTTTAGAAGTTAACTGTAAACTGTTTACAGTGAGTTATTTGATTATTATATTTTCATTTCTTGAAGTTTCATTTTATTCTATTTAAACACTAAATCATTTTTTATATTTTCCATTTCCTATATAGATCTTCAAACTTTTTTCTTATTCTGTAAACACAGTAGGGCACGGCACCTGATAGTCCCATTATCTGAAGTCTGTGCAAATATCCATCTGCTGCTTCTGATTTTCTGACTGATTATGGTATCTTATGTACCTGGTTGTCATTGTGCTGGATATTATGCTTGAAAAATTAATCTTATGCTCTTTTATTGAAGGTGTCCTCCCCATAAAATAATTTACATTTGCTCTGCCTGGAGCCCCCAGCTAAGAGCACACGAGAGGAAGGCTACATGGTGCCTGGATCACTCAGGTGTCTGAACTTAGACCATACGGCTTTGTCATCACCAAGTCCACTTCTGGAGTACCCATAACTTGAAGTGTGCACTGTGGGGTCCCTACTTATTCCCAGTAGATCTCCACTTTCCATGGCCCCAGGTCACTGGTCCCCACATGTATGGGACCCAGCTGACACACATCACAACAGCACCTCTACCCCCCATTCTGGACTAATGATTCCTTTCTGCCTCATTTTAAAATATCTTATCCCACTTTTTGGGTTGTTTACAGTGGATAGAGTAATCCCAATAACAAACTCCAAGTGCTATTTGACGTTAAATTCTAAAAATAATAAACCAATCTGCTACACATCCTGGCCTCCCCTCTGGACACTCCTACAGCAAAGACAACGGTCCCTCCAGGGCCAGGAAGCTAGCCTGCTCAGCCTTACATGGCCACAGCATGGCCCAAAGGGGCCCAACAGTTCACCCTGTAATCCCACTGTAACAGTGTGTCTCCCCCTCTGAGGACTTCACAGCCAGTCACACGCCACCTCCCACAGAAGACAGCTCATTTTCAAGATGAACTGGGTGTCTTTCCTGGCCGAGAAAGGAAGGTCTGGAAGCAGAACTAACCTTCCTCTTGAGGACGCTGAGTTTCTCCACCACGCCATCCAGCAGGCTGACCACAGAGTCCACAGCAGGGCAACTGCTCAGGGTCTTCTCCAGCTCAGCCACCACCATGGTGACGTGGCTCGTCTCCCTGTCAATGTTTTTCTGAGCAGCTCTGAAGCGTTTATTCAGGGTCTCATAGGGCACCTAGAGGAGAGACCAGGATGCATGAGCACCTGCAGCCTGCCCTAGGGCACACGGGGCTTCCCCACGGCACTGTCAGGATGCATGAGCACCCTTGGGCACCTGGGCTCCCCCACAGTACTGCCAGATGCAGAGGTTCGATTTCCAGCTCTCTCAAAATACATCTAGTCTGAAACCTGACTAAGACCTACAAACACTGGGGTGCATGGATGGACAGTCCACATCCCTGGAAAAGAAGAGTAATAATCCATTTGGATGCCCTTGATTGCTTCTCTGGGTGGAGGGAAGGTAATCAGGGGGACCTCACCTATACTGCACATTGCAAGGGTACACGTCAAATCTATTAAGAATATAATATAAATGTCTTAACAATTAAGTAACTGAGGTGAAGGCTATGTTAACCAGTTTGATGTAAGCGTTCCAAATTGAATATAAAATCAGCACACAGTACCCCATAAATACATTAATGTACAGTTATGATTTAGTTAAAAAAAAAGAAGAGTAATAAAAAGACACACACTGTCCTACACTACATAGTGTACCTGCAATTCTCTCCAAATAATTTTAGAGTGGTGCATATTAACAAAACAATTCCAAAGTTTCTCTAGAACAGTGGTTCTCAACCTTCCTAATGCCGCAATGTATTTTCACTGTTACAAAGGGGTTGCAACCCACAGGTTGAGAACCACTGCTCTAGAATAATAAATAGTTAAGGCAATGATCAAAAAGGATGTTCTCTCAGACAGTAAGGCACGGGACCTATGGGGACCAGCCCAGTCCGTGCGCGAGGCAACCAGTACAGGGTTGGGGACACATAGCGCACGCCTTTCACACTGATGAGTGTTGAAGTGAAGCTGTTAAGCGCGCAC